GGAAAGAGACAGACGCATGCATAATTATCATACACGTGGGGATTATGTGCTTTAGGATGGGTGTGTGCAAAATGCTGTGGGAGCACAGAAGAAAGTCACTACTGGTTTTGGTGGGTAGAGAGGAGGATTGGAGAATTAAGGCTTCTTGGAAAGGTTGGGTTCTGAGGAGCATAGAAAATGCAGGGTGGTACAAGCAGAAGGGATAGCAAAAGCAAAAGCATAAAGACCCAAATTATACGGGCAGCTGAGAATGGTACAGGGTGCATGGCTATGAGACCTAAAAAGTTAGACTGGGCCGGAATTTGATAGAAATTGAAGGGCTTTATCTTATAGGTGATGTGGACCCATTGAAGAGTTACAAGCTTAGGATATTATCAGATCTATTTTATTATTCTATTATATATGACTCTTAAGAAGAATTATATTTATTTAGCTGCTGTTATCTGTCAGGCACCCTCTATGCATTTTACATATGTTATTGCATTTTAAATCTTTACAACTTTATGAGGTGTGAGCATTATTATTCCCTTTGTACTAAAGAGGAAATTGAGGTGAAGTAACTTGGCCAGGTCATTTAGGGAGTAGTGAAGCGAGGCTGGGCCTTGAACCTGAGTTCGTCTGACTTACTTGAATTTTACTATCCTGCCCCCACTTTTCTGGTGGGCCCGTAATGAGCATTTGATAATTATTTTATGAGTTGTTCCTTTTCCATCAGGCCATATGGACCACATTGCAAAAAGACCGGGGTAGGAATGGTGGTGGGGAAGGGGAGAGGGGAGAGAACGGAGAACGGAGACTGGGCTCCAGAGCTGAAGGGTGGCCCTGGCTGTCTGCCGATAGTGAGACACGCTTCCATTCTGAAGACGCCCTCACCTGGGCACAGTGGCTGCCCTCGGACTGGCAGGGCCAGTATCCTGGTTGGCCTTTGGCATTCGGCAGAACGGTGTCTGCGTTCTCTGGGCACCGCCTGCCTGAGTAGTGTGGTTGGCTGGCAAGAGCCTTAGGATTCCAAGCCAGGGATGAGTTGCAGCCACTATTGCCAGGGGCTCTGGTGCCACGACCAGGCCACTGTTTCACCTGGAGAGTCGACAGGAGGCCACAGCAGCCTCCTCAGGCACCCTGGTGTGTGTAGGTATGATTATGTCTTCCCCAGATTCTTACCTGATAATGGAACTAACTCGTCTGCTTCAGCAAGACCTGGACTCAGAACTAATAAATCCTAGGATGGAAAGCTTGGCTCTAAAGGCTGCACCGGGAAGCAGCAAGTATTTTCAAGGACCCCGTTCCACTCCTCCCTCCCAGGGCTCTTCCCACCCGCTGTGGACTCTCTCTTTTGGGTTTGCTTGGCCGCTTGATGGACGTGTGCTGTGCTCGTGGGGCGCCACTGGCTGTGTGGTGTGAGCTGAGGTCACATCACGCCAGACCCCATCACAAAGAAAGGTTCTGTCCAGCTGGGCTGGTTCCTGGCTCTGTGGCTGGTGTATAGAAACAGTCATTATGTTATGGCGGAGACTCTGAAACAAATGCTCTCCTCGGCCCCAGGACCTGTCCCTCAGTGTGATGAAAGTGCCTTTCTGTGGGCTGTTTCTGCAAGAGGCAGGCGGGTTGGTTGTGTGGCTCAGTGGCACCGAGCACAGGCCTGTTCCCTCATCTCTCTCTGCTTGGCGGGTGTCCATCTCCCCACATCTCAGTGGTCCAGCCCCACATGCACTTTTGTGCTGCGACCCCCTCCCGGCCTCTCCTCTCATAAGCAAATACAGCCTCAACATCAAACAAACTCCCCCAGACCTGGAGTTTGGAAGAAAGTAGAGAACACCGGGTTTGAAGAGTTTTCTGTTTTCTGTTAAAATTACCTTCTGATTCGGAATCCAGTTGATAGAGGGCGGCATCAGCCCTGTTCAACCTTGAGCACCAGAGGTAGGTTCTCCAACAACAAATTTATTGTAACATGATTCTGAACACTTTAAAGGCCACACCGGGGAGGGGGAAGGGGAAGCTGGGACGAAGTGAGAGAGTGGCATGGACATATATACACTACCAAACATAAAATAGCTAGCTAGTGGGAAGCAGCCGCATAGCACAGGGAGATCAGCTCGGTGCTTTGTGACCACCTAGAGGGGTGGGATAGGGAGGGTGGGAGGGAGACGCAAGAGGGAGAGGATATGGGGATATATGTATACATATAGTTGATTCACTTTGTTATGCAGCAGAAACTAACAACATTCTAAAGCAATTATACTCCAATAAATATGTTTTAAAAAAAAAAAAGGCCACACGGAGTTTGTCCTAATGGACTTCTCTTATGTGTTCTCTTTTTCTTAAAAAAGAAAACTAAGAAATTGCCTGTAGTGTTGAAATAGCAGCAGCAAAGAATCAGGGGTTCTCCAAGTAAGAGTCTCATGTGCCTCTCAGCTCTCTACCCCAAACAAGCGATGCTGTCCGTGAGCTCTTGTTTGCATATATGTGCCCCAGTCCTTAATCTGAGGGAGTTTGGTGAGCAGTGACTCACTAGGATTTAGGAGGATTGTGCATTCTCTTAGTGAGGGTGGATTTAGAGGGGTGGACTGAGCCTGGGCGTTGTCTGCGGGGCAGAATTCAGATGCCTTGGTCCCATTGCTTCCTGGAGGAGGAAGAAGCAAGTGCTGGGTTTTCTCCCATCTGCAGAGCTGGGTTCTGAGCTGAGGTTTCTTCAGGGTGGGGCAGTTGTTCAGGGCCGCCTCTGTGTGCAGGCGAATGAGTAGGGTGGCCAGCGGCTGCAATGAGGAACCCGGGGAGCTGGACCCCTGGCCTTGGCTGCCGTCTTCCTGTCCCAACACCTGGGTAAGGGGTCGTCCCAGGCTACTTGCTCCACAGGGACTTAAGAAAGAAAGCCCTTTCAGTGTGGGGGGAGAGGTTTAGTCTCTAATAAAGAGGAGCTTTAGCGCTGGGATTGTGGCTGGCATTCGCATTGTCTGGAGTTGTTCGTGCCACGGATATGTAGAATTTGAAAATCACCAGCAGGGGTGGAGACCACTTTCTTTGGGTCCCTGAAAGCCTGTCACATCCGTGGTTGTGAGAGAGTGGCATGGACATATATACACTACCAAACATAAAATAGCTAGCTAGTGGGAAGCAGCCGCATAGCACAGGGAGATCAGCTCGGTGCTTTGTGACCACCTAGAGGGGTGGGATAGGGAGGGTGGGAGGGAGACGCAAGAGGGAGAGGATATGGGGATATATGTATACATATAGTTGATTCACTTTGTTATGCAGCAGAAACTAACAACATTCTAAAGCAATTATACTCCAATAAATATGTTTTAAAAAAAAAAAAGGCCACACGGAGTTTGTCCTAATGGACTTCTCTTATGTGTTCTCTTTTTCTTAAAAAAGAAAACTAAGAAATTGCCTGTAGTGTTGAAATAGCAGCAGCAAAGAATCAGGGGTTCTCCAAGTAAGAGTCTCATGTGCCTCTCAGCTCTCTACCCCAAACAAGCGATGCTGTCCGTGAGCTCTTGTTTGCATATATGTGCCCCAGTCCTTAATCTGAGGGAGTTTGGTGAGCAGTGACTCACTAGGATTTAGGAGGATTGTGCATTCTCTTAGTGAGGGTGGATTTAGAGGGGTGGACTGAGCCTGGGCGTTGTCTGCGGGGCAGAATTCAGATGCCTTGGTCCCATTGCTTCCTGGAGGAGGAAGAAGCAAGTGCTGGGTTTTCTCCCATCTGCAGAGCTGGGTTCTGAGCTGAGGTTTCTTCAGGGTGGGGCAGTTGTTCAGGGCCGCCTCTGTGTGCAGGCGAATGAGTAGGGTGGCCAGCGGCTGCAATGAGGAACCCGGGGAGCTGGACCCCTGGCCTTGGCTGCCGTCTTCCTGTCCCAACACCTGGGTAAGGGGTCGTCCCAGGCTACTTGCTCCACAGGGACTTAAGAAAGAAAGCCCTTTCAGTGTGGGGGGAGAGGTTTAGTCTCTAATAAAGAGGAGCTTTAGCGCTGGGATTGTGGCTGGCATTCGCATTGTCTGGAGTTGTTCGTGCCACGGATATGTAGAATTTGAAAATCACCAGCAGGGGTGGAGACCACTTTCTTTGGGTCCCTGAAAGCCTGTCACATCCGTGGTTGTGTAGCTCTCCACTCCGGCCACCACTTTCAGACTGTAGAAATCTTTTCTCTGGGCAAGTTGGCATTTTTGAGAAAACTGAAGCTTGAACCTCCAACCCTTACACTGTAGTCTTCACGTTTTTGCTTCCCCCGTTACCAGGGAAACCATTACCAGAAGTTGGATACGTGCGAACGTTTTCTCTCTCTCTCTCAATATAGCTTGACACAAACTCTTGAGGACTGCCAGGATTTTAAAAAAAAAATCCTGCCACTTAATTTTTCTTTTTTTAGCTACCCGAGGAAAAATCCTGCTTTCTTTTCTGATCCCAGTTCACACTCCAAAACCTCAGACCAGTACAATGTGTATTAAATTTATTTTTTAAAAGACCCAACAGGGGCTACCCCGGTGGCGCAGTGGTTGAGAGTCTGCCTGCCGATGCCGGGGACACGGGTTCGTGCCCCTGTCCGGGAGGATCCCACATGCCGCCGAGCGGCTGGGCCCGTGAGCCATGGCCGCTGAGCCTGCGCGTCCGGAGCCTGTGCTCCACAGCGGGAGAGGCCGCAACAGTGAGAGGCCCGCGTGCTGCCAAAAAAAAAGGCCCAACAAAACAACAGAAACTAACCAGCATCATAAAATTGAGAGAGACCAAAAAAGCAAACCAACCAACCTAATCAGAGCCTGAAATAGATGGAGCTGATTGCCTGGCTTGATTTTTCTGTAAATGGCCTTGGAGAGGACACCCCCTTATGAGGCTCCTGTCCCCACCCCTCCGTGCTTTTAGGAATGAGGACTTCCTCCCTTTATATAGAGATGGTGGGTCAGGGAATATTAATTATGCATCATTCCGCTTTCAGTGATGTTTATGTGGATGAAGTAGGATCGAGGGAAATGAGCACTAAATATATTTTAATCACCTTTGCTGCTTTGAAAGAATTCCCACAGATAATCGTCAGCTCATAGCAGCGTCAGTCCATCTGTCCGCACGCCTCCCCTCGTCCCTGGATGAGAGAGAGGGAAGCGGCCTGCAGCGTGTGGCACAGTCTGCTTCTTGAGTAACTAAAAGAAATTCCCGATGCTCTTGGGCCAGGGTCATCTTGCTAGCACAGTCACTGAAAAAACAGAGACCCTAAATTTGAGTCAGGGCCCAGTTGGTTTCCGGGCTGATCGGATTGTCACCGTGTGTCTCAGTTTACAGAGTGGGACCCTGTCCCCCCAGCTGTGGAATAGCTCTGCTCTGAAGGGGCTTAGCACGGCCTTCTCAAGAAACCTCCCCAAGGAGCCCTCCGGGGCCAGGGTTTAAACCGACCCAAATCGGATCTTCAGGAGAGAAATCCTATTCTACACCTCACTCCAGACACTCAGGGCACGATAATGTTTTGGGGTTTTTTTTTTCCCACCTCAACTGATCTCAAGAGATCAACGTGGAGAAGAAAACTCAAATACCTTTCTACTAAAAAGAAAATACGCTGCTCGATACCTGTTTCGATTTTGATGTTACCAGGAGAGTGTGTCTGCCTCCTCCTTCATGAATATATTCTGTAGCCACGTGAGTCCATTTCTTTTTATTTTGTGGAGCAGTGGAGGCCCTCATTCCTGCTTTTAT